CGACACTAAAAGAGAATCACCATTCTCCCAGCTGTCATCAAATAAGACAAATTCGTTGTTTGGTAGTGCTGGTAGCAACGAGAGCCCATTTGCAAGATTGTCTGGGTCTAATGACAAAGAGCCAACTAAGACAAAGTCTCAGTCTCCTTTCAGTTCCCTGAAACCTGAAAGTGATTCTTTCTTTGGGTCATCTCAATCTGCCCAATCTTCCCCATTCGACTCTCTAGGTAATACTGGCGTATCACCTCTATTCAGTAATGCACAGCCCTCGCATTCGGCTACAGATAAAGACAAAGTCTTTGACTTTGGCTCCGTTTCAGAGGCTGTTAAAGATTCTTCTAAAGAAACTGGTGTATCCGCATTAGATGTTTCGTCTAGTGAAGAAGAAATTGAGGATGATAGCGATTCTGACTCGGATGAAGTCGAAAAGCAAGTTTCTAACATTGCACCAACTGACCTTAATCCGCTTGCGTCAGCTTCTGGTCCAACAAATTTTGGAAACGCCGGGTTCAGTTTTAACAGTAATGCTGGTGGTTTTGGTAGCACTGGATTTGGAACTTCTGGTTTTACGTTTGGCGATAAACCTAAAGAAACGACATCAGCAGCAACTTCTGATACGAAGCTTGATTTCTCAAATTCTGGATTCGGTGCCTTTGCAGATAAGAAACTAAATTTTGGAGGAAAGAATATCTTTGAGTCAAGTGATAGTGTATCTGAACAAGTTCATGAATCACATGATGAACAGAGCTTCCATGGCTTTGATGATCACGAAGATGCTGACGATAGAACACAGCATAACTTTTCAGATGATATTGACGGTGTTCAAGGCATCTCTGGAGACGATGTTGATGCTGTTGATGATTCCAGTTCTAATATGGAAGACGATAATGGTGAAGAGGATGGATCATCTGCTAATGAAAGTGAGCTAACTGACAATGATTCTGATAGTCAGAACAATGAAGAAAGTGCTCACGCCTCAGTGGCTGCAGCTATAAGTGATGCATATCTCTCGTCAGATATCGTTCCTGTGGAATCTGATGTTGATGAAGAAGCATTAATACAGAACATCAATGACGATTTCGAAGTCAACGATGATGTTGAGGATGCGGAAGCGTCAGATTTGAGCGGCATTACCCAAGACATGTCACAACCGGATGAGGTTGAGGAATCTGAAGAAGTCCCGGATGACAGTGAGACTCAAAAACGTTCGGACATTGAGAAGAAAGATGATGATGTCTCAATAGAACCGGACCAAGTTAGCAGACACAATAAAGCAACTCAGCCAGATGTGAACTACGTTTCGGAATCAATTCAAACAGACGATAATACCAGAGAAGCGGAAATTCAGGCCACAGTGCAGGAAAAGCATATCTCCTTACAAACAGATCCAATTGAACTTGTTGATGTTTCCCAAGATTTATGCGATGATGAAGTTTACTTCGGCTCCTTCCATCTTCCTATCGATATCAAAAGCTATGTTCATGTTAAAGATGTAAAATATCCAAAGTTGAGCTCTAATGACCTTGAAAAAGAGATAGAGTTGATGTTTTATGACACAGAAGCTGAGCTGATGGTAGTAGAGGAGAACATTCGCAATTTGAACAGCTTTTTCTTGGATCATTGCAACATTCCCGTTCAACATACCGAGGTATCTATTGGGCACAGCAACCAATGGAGGTTATCGGAGGCTTATATCATCAATGACATCTTGAACTCAACTGTTAAACAGTCATCTACGATAGCATCTGATACTAACTCAGACTTTGTTACTGTTGATGAAGTCCGTTCAGGTACGAAGGTTATCGAAGACCGCTGTCACAGGGTTGCTAATAAACTTGTTGCCCTTGAAAAGCAATATGATGTTCAACTGAATGCCTCTAGGGAGCTTGATTTTGAGCAACTTATGCTGCAACAAAGAGTTAGAGAATCATTTGCTAATACTTCGTCACAATTACGTTATGCCGAAACAAAGCTTTTAACTTTGAAATCAATTGCTAATGTCTTTTATGATAAGAACCCTACACCAAAGGTACTTGGAGATGTTATTTGTCAGATGGGCGTTGTCAGTTCTAATTATTCTACAGATGTTCAATCTTTGACCGATGAAATTGCAAAGATGAACCTGAACCATTCCAAGATCCTGGGGGAGCTGCAAAAAGGCAAATCTAAACTTTTTGATCAGCATCAACATGAGGATAGATCCATGTTAAAGATAAAGATTGATGATTCTGACAGGAAGTTTTCCTCATATCAGTCTATTGTCCCATCTCTCAAAGAGAGAACTGTTGATGATGTCACAAATGTCTTCTGATAGTGTATATGTTCTATTGTGAGTATCATATATAAAATACTGTTTCAGTTTATCTTTTTTACTTAACTTATAGTAGGTCTTTGCTAACATCTTGGAATTTTTCAAGCAGAATGTCGTTCTCCTCCTTCGTACCAACAGTGATTCTCAGCCCACCAGGACAGCCAAGTTCGTTACCTCTATATCTAATCACAACGCCTTTTGTAGTGGCCAATTTTTCATAGATGTATTTCGCATCTTCACTTGAAGGGTCGCCTTTCTTATCAACAACTTGAACGAGTAAGAAATTTGCAGATTCACCACCCAGCAATTTTGAAACATTTGGGAATTTCAATAGCTCATCCACTAGTCTTGATCTCTCAGAATTCAACAGTTGAACTACTTCTCTCATATGTTTGATACTCTGTGGAGAAACAGCTCTGGTCGCAACAGAAGATGTCAACGTGGAAATGTTGTAAGGGGCCTTCAGAGCATTCAAGATACCAGCCAATCTCTTTGTAGCAAAAGTAATACCCAATCTAATGGCTGCCAACCCAAAAGACTTGGATAGGGTCTGCATGACAACCAAGTTTGGGTACTTGTTTACAAGGGTTGCCAATGAGGAACCAACTGGTGCAAAATCAACGTATGCCTCGTCAGCAACAACAACACCGTTGAAGTTTTCATTATTTAACACTTTTTCAATGAGCTTGAAATCGATCAGTGTACCGGTAGGGTTCCCCGGAGTTGTGATGTATACAATCTTGATTGTTGGATCGTTTGCAATGGCCTTGTTTATCTCTTCTGGATCGATTTGGAAAGTATCCAGGTTCAATGGCACTTTCACAATCTCAACCTCGTTAATCGTGGCACAGATGGAGTACATACCATAGGTTGGAGGACAAATAAGCAGCTTATCCTTGGTAGGACGACATACCGTTCTGATCAGGGCGTCAATGCTCTCATCTGAACCAACACCTAAGCACAGGTTTTCCGGGGTGATGATATCTTGCTTATCAACGTCAAATACGTTCTCAGCATTTCTGAACTCCACAATGAGTTTTTTCAGCTCCAGCTGATGAGGGTCTGGGTAACGGTGCAATTGGAGCAACTGCTCCTCATCGTCCAAGTCTTGGATGGCTGGTCCATGTGCATTCTCATTGGCATCGAGCAAGATCCCTTCTTTGAAGTCGCTATGGTACAATTTCCAGTGTTAGAACTCATCACGCAATTGCGAAAAACGCAGCATATAAACTCACTCTCTTGCACAACGATAAGGCTCCAGTGCAAGAATGTTCGGTCTAACGAGAGTATTCAAGTTGAATGGCATCTTCTCCCTATCTCTTACTTCACAATCTCAATGAATACGTAGAAGATGTGGAAAGTGCCCAAAAGTGAGTCACATTCAAAGCCGGCTAACACCCAGACACCAAGTGCGAGGGTGAAAAAGAGAAAAGACGGAGTTGCTCGCAACTCCAGCGCTATTTCCCAGAGTAGTTATTCCCGAATGAATGACCTTGAGGAGACTTCCGTGGATCAATTGAATAATTACCAATTCAGTTATACCGACAACTGGGATAGAAAGCAGTGACTTGTTCGTGTCTACTTTGCTTCTTCTTCTTCTTCCTTTCTAAGCTTGCCTACCCTTTGTAGAGTGTGTGGATTTTTCAAAGAAATATGAGGCCTTTACATCTCGATGCATACACAGACAATTATGTCCCGCCATCAGTATTACCAAAGTTCCCGAGATTTATCTCGAAATGGTTAGGTGGTGCACCGGCAATGAAGGACGTGCCAGAGGCTTTGCATTATGTTGACATTTTGATTGGTTCTTTTGTTTCTCTCTTAACAATTGAAGGAGTATTCAGGCACTCGACTGTGTTTCAAGAACACCACGCACCTCATATCATTGCCAGTTACGGTGCGACAGCCATCTTGGCATTTAATGTCCATGTTGCGCCTCTGGCACAACCTAGGAACATCTTTGTGGGTAATTTCATCTCTGCATTGATAGGTGTATGCGTCATGAAGCTATTCTCTTTGTCAGAGACAGGTAGGGATCATTACTGGGTAGGTGGTCCATTGGCAGTGGGCGTGGCTAGCGTTGCAATGTCAGCATTGAACTGTGTTCATCCACCTAGTGGTGCAAGTGCTCTATTGCCCTTTATAGACGACCAGATCAGAGCAATGAGTTGGTGGTATTTACCAGCACACATTGTCAGTTCGCTGCTGATCATTGGCGTTGCGTGTGTCACTAACAACATTCTCCGGTCCTATCCTGTGTATTGGTGGACTGCTCATCATTTCAGAGATGAGAAACCCGATAATGCTGGGACCAAAAGTTCTGATTTGGAAATCGGTGATAATAAAGCAGGCGATCTTTCTATTGTGGAAAGAGATCTGGTTATACCTCAGGGGACTGTACTCACTACAGCTCAAATGCAATTTCTCGAATCTCTCAAAGACATGATCATAGACTAATTACTTTCAACGACGTCAAGCTGTTTTTCCTCATGTAGTATCAAGCCTTACGTAGAATGGTAATTTGTTCCTGTCAACTTCAAGTTTTGTTTCGAATATCTCGATAAATTCCATATCGCTTTCCCCCTTGCCTCCAGCGTACTTGTCATACTCTGTAAATATACCTGTTAGACTCCATCCCTGTAACAATTTACGCAATATTCCAACTAGCACTCCAACTCTATGTTTTCCCTTGTTGGAATGGATCAATATGGGATAGTTCTCAACGTTCAGGATGATTGATAGTGCATCATTCATAATCTTAGGGTCGTTCATGACAAAGGGCTCCTTGGGGGATTTCATCTTTAAATACTTGAACTCAATTCCCTCTTGTTTCAAGAAATCGTAATATTCATAGTTATCCTCCTTGTCTCCAATGTATATAACAGTTTTCAACTTCAACGTCTTCAGGAAGGGGAAGTTCTTGGGCACTGGATGCCCTGAGCGGTAAATCTTGTCCTCCACTAGTGCAAAATTTAACGGTGGAACGTAAATGGTGTCAGACATGTGATCAGAAGATGGTGCTCCAATGATATCTAAGTTGATCAAGTTAAGGATGATTGTGGAATCTGTAGCGCCTGCCAGTCTCTGTGATTAGTTCAAAGGATGTTGTTGTTGTTGATTGAATTTCTGCTCGAGACCAAACATTGGTGTTCGGATGCACCACACAGCCAGACTCGAAACCCATTGGACATTGCCATTTATCTCCCAGAAAGCCCGTTCCAATAGTGAGCCTACAGAGTCAATTGAGTATATGCAGCTAGAGGTGTCGATATTATTCATTTATAACTGAGTAGCTAACATAGCCACTTTGAATGACCTCGATTGGGAAACTGACTGTACGAGCACTAGAGATCTTAAATTTGTGGTGTCCAGGTTTATCGTGACACAACATGTTCATACCTCCATAGGGGAAAGCGCAACTTACTAGATGAGCGAAAGTGCGTAATGATTGCAGGATCAACGTTTTCTCTGTTGTTCAGTAGAGAGATTTAATAGGTTTATAAATCAGTGTAAGTATTTTAAGTTGTTCTAATTAATGTAAAAGAAGAAAGTGATATTGACTTATTGGCAAAGAAAATTGTGCTGTATATATTCTCACTTGTTATATTTCAAGATCAAAATAGAGTTATCCAGTAACTTCAAGAAGAGAATGAAAATATCACATATTTGATGATTGTTAATGAATTCCACTAAATATTATGTAAGAGAGCTGTATAAATGTCAATAATGTTGAATTACGTGTTAAAATGGCAACTTAACAACAATCTTGTTCAAAAAGGGTCAAATTTCACTCTGCGAAGATTGTTAATACGATGGCTCAATCATATCGACTCAGATAACATATTACAGATTGAGCCCAGCAGTTCATCACTTACAATGAATAACGGTGAATCATATAAATATCAAAAGAAAAATTTCAAACTAAATAAGGGAATATATATAATCTAGTCAAGTTCAAGAACAAAATCAGTACTCTTTGTTAACAGAAGTGGTACCAGTTTTGGTCTCCGCATCGACATCATATTGTGTCTTTCCGTCACTGTACTCTTGAATCTTACTATCGTTAGAAGGAATATCTGCTGGCTCCATTTCAATTGCTTCATCTGCTTCAATGTAATTCACGGTTTCTTCCTCTTGAGGAATGAACAAGTTAAGAATAACACCAAGGATACCGGCAATAGCATAACCGGTCTCCATAACAAGAATAATGGCATTGTAGAAACCTTGAAGCGCGTGGTTATCACCGTCGTAGGTGAAGATATAGGAGAACCAATCACTAACCATGGTTGAACCGAAACCAAACACCAATGTAGCAGTGAGAACAAAACGGTCTCTTCTGGTGAATCTATTTCTAGAGATAATGGCTAAACCTGCAACAGCAACAGATGTGAACAAGAAGGTGGTCATACCACCAAGAACAGGATTTGGAATAGAAGTCAATGCAGCAGCGAACTTGGAGAAGATACCCATGACGATGAGGAAGAAGCAACACCAGTAACCAACTGTTCTGTTAGCACACTTTGTGATGGAGATGACACCGTTGTTCTGGGCGAATGTTGACATTGGTGTGATAGTACAGAGACAAGCTAGCAAACCGTTGAATCCATCGGCAAGGACACCACCTTGGATACGAGATTCGTACATTTCACCTTCAACCTCCAAACGAGAAACATCACACGTAGCTGTGATATCACCAATGGCTTCCATCATCAACACGATATAAGTTGCAAGCATTGGAAGCACTGCAGGGCCATAAACGGTAAGTTTGAATGTGTGAACCCAAATGAAGGTTGCAGCTGGTGCAGCTTCGATATTATCTGGACTGAAGTAACCACAGGCAGCAGCAACAATACAACCCACAAGGAGACCAACGATAACTGCACAAGATTTCATGATTGGGGACCCCCACTTTTCACAAATCAAGATGGTTAGATAGACCAAGAAACCCAGGCCAAAGAATCTTGCGTTACCAAAATGGCCAGCCATTGGAGCTCCTTCGCTTGGACATGTGTCTGTACAGTTTGAGCCACCAAGCCAGTTGGTAACACCAGATTCGATCAGACTAACACCAATAAGCAGGACGACAGGACCTGTAACGATAGGAGGGAAAATTCTTTGTAGGACCTTTGGTGGGATAAACGACAGGGCAATTTCCAAAAGGGCACAACAAGCACCGGTACCTAGGATGGCACCATATCCTTCTGGACAAGGCAGATGTGTTCCATCTGCTGCAACTGGACACTCTCCTGTTGCGTACATGATAGGGAACGAGTTGTTGACGATGGTGATTGTGGCGAATGATGTACCCACAACAGATAGCAAACCGGTACCCACGTAGTACTTTGTACCCATGATATGGAATCTTGTAATTTGGATTGACGAAAGGATGCCACTGACAATAAGCGATACCGAGACAAGATACTGGGATGTTGCACTACCGAGATTGGCGGCAGATGCGATGATAATAGGCGGGGTCATGATACCAGCCAACATGGACAGCGAATGCTGGAAGCCCAAGATCATGCCCAAAACAACTGGCATTTCCGAGTCCAACCCGAAAAAGGGTTGTTCCTTATGTGTCTTCGATACGAATGGGATCGATGGCATAAAGAGACTCAAATAGTCATAGTCACCAATGAGACCTTCCTTAGTTGTGAATTTCTTGAAGAGTCGCTTACCAGCGCCCTTCGCATCTTCTGTAGTTGGGAGCAACATATCTCACGCAGTCTATGCTGATTTAGTCACAAACAGCCATTGTCACATTTTACACACCATTTTGGAGACCGATGGCCTTCTCTTTATATACAAATTACACGCACACTACTTATCGATATCAGCTTGCGTCAAGTTTAAAAGGGTAAGAATGCGCCAATTAGCTAGAGATAATGTGGGCATTGTGCCTTAAGATCCTTCTTCCTCACAATTTCCTGCATGATCGTGACCCAATTACAACCTCTGCTCCAACATGCGGATACGTGCTTCCCACATCTGATTTGTCAGTCGTCTTCAGTGTTTAGTTGGTGCACACACCGTTTATTGGCGCACTACATGGCACTGTGTTACCATAAAAAGAGCAGGCCAAGAAAGCCAAGAGCCGTTTGTTGAAGAACGCCAGCTTTGAAGCGCAAGATTCCTCTCGCCAAACGAAGCACTTTCTTCCTTGGAAAGACCTGTTCACGGGTTGTTTTATCTTATCTGCATGTATAAGGCACGAAGGGAAGGGGGAAGGCCGAATGTATGTGGGTGTTTCAACCATTGCAAAGCAAAAGCGGCTTGGTTTGGTTGAGACAGTCCGTCGGAGGAGATCACCGAGCTTGTGGGAAAGCCCGGCTGTAGTTTACCTGTTGCAGTTCTGTAGATGAGTTTGGCGATTACGGAAGAGTACAATACCATTTTTGATCAAAACTGAGCGATGAGAAGGTCGACAGAACCAAAGTACTCTGGATGTTTCTTCATGTAGGTACACCAGGAGTCAGGAGTCGAGATTATGCTAAGTTCTTGGGTGTCCGAAAATATGTCTTGTGACTTGATACTCCTTGGATAAACCGCACTCACGCTAACACTTGGCAACACTGATTGTGTAAACTCTGTTATCTCTCAAGTTTCAAGTTCCCACTTCTATGTCGTTGTCTGTATGTTTAATTTTGTCATGGACAACTTCCCAAGCGTATGTGGTTGCAAAGCATTAAACTCAAGGCGGACACTCACGTCACCAAGTGTCCAGTCGTCGTATCCATTAAAAGTCTCTAGTAGTCAGCTAAATAAGTTAGCCGATGTAAATGACCTGGATTGGAATGATGGTCGTATCGATCTATGTACATGTAAAAGTCGGTCTTTTCCATTATGTTCCATAATGAGTCTTTTTTTTTAGGTATGGAGTTCCCCATTTGAAAAAGAAATAGTCATTTAACACGTTCGGCGTGACACACAGGCCCACACATAGGTCGAAGCTTTGTTCTAGATAAGAGTTGTACACAACTATGCAAATGGATGTGCTGAATCTTGACGAGACCTGAATTTGGGTCTTGGTTTCATGTATGAGTGTGTCCTGGATGTAATTTAGATAATGATTGCCGAAGGATAGGGCTCCTGTGTTGGGAGAAAGCCTGTGCTTCAAAACGCTTTCAGCCGAAGTATAATTCTCATCGATTTGCCAATGGGGGTAGCCAATCATGTGTATCCATGACAGAAGATAGACAGTCGATAGAAAAGTAGTTCGCCGTTAGTACCTACCGTATTTTCTGTATAGTTGTTTGTATATATGTAGTTACGCACACCTGGATTTGACCATTTGAACTATTAGGCGATTTTATGATGATAAGATTTGATATTTGATTGCATTACTGGTGGCTTTTCATCTTTACTAAACACGGAGCTTGATTGAGATAGATTTCCTAGTTCTTGATATGGAGGACTTCGTATTTCGCTCATAATTTCTGTTCAATCACACAGCGATCTTACGTTGAGAAATGCTCATGAATTCAAGTTACCACTGGAGGATCCATATCGGGATTTTATCTTCTTCCAATATTGATCATCGTGTTCCTTGAATAATGGCATATTCCAGGGGAATTATTCTCAACATTTGTCATTTGTTCGATAAGATAACCCCATACCTCAGTTTTGAATGTAAGCGAACAGTTGCTAAATATTTCGATAATAGAACCAACACCTAGATAATTATATGGACAGGAGGACTAAAGCATGGATTTCGATGTGGGACGAAAAGGTATCATTGACTCTCCATATCATATGGGTTATTTATTGTATGAGAAACGCAATAAAACACCTTCAAGCACTGAAAACTATATTTGAATAGAGATCAGAAATTGAGATATCGGTGTTGAGATGTAACTGCTTAACAATTCATACGTGAGAGTTGAAAGCACTGGAATGAAACCTCTCCAGAACAAGTATACTAACTTCAAGAGGGTGTTTAATTGAGGGAAAGATCTTTTAAAGGCTCGAATCTGGAATTATCAACGCAGGAAAGCACTACGCATGAAAAGGTTCTATCTGTATGTCATATCTCAGTGTTGGCCATCAGTAATAAATATAATCTCAAAGGTCAACTGGCTATTTGGGAAGTGAACGCTTTTCATTTATGATATAGGGAAAAGAACAACCACATAAGAGATCTTGTCCATGACAAATGAAGGAGAAATAAAATGAGTGAGGTTGTGAAGGTGAAGATCATGTTGAGGCAGAAGAAAATATTTGTACATATGGTTTTTCCTTTGAGGTATCGATATTGTACCAAGCAAAGGACCAGCTTCTCTTATGCCGAAGAAGATAGCTTTTGCTTAAGTTTCTTCATATACAAGTCATCAAAGGGTGATGCTTTGGTAAAAAAAAACTTTTCCATTTATACTCTAGTCACATCAGCTGACAAACTCTTCATTGAAGCGAGCTATCTTCTTGCACGACTTATACGCAGGTGGGGTTATCCCATATTCGATTCAATTGAAGGGTGATAAACTCCAGCGAGAAATCCTTTTCCTGGAACTGACCAATAGAAGCACTTGAGGGGTATCGATTGATGGACTATTTGAGTTAAAACTTGTTACATTGGTCAAAGTGTCGATACCGCATATTAAGCCAGAAAGAAAGCTACATACGTTTAGCGAAGAAACAGTTCATTCAAGTACCGAAAACATCACACACGAGGCCAATCAAGAACAAAGATGATTTGATTGAAGCCTCCAGAATAACCAAGAAAAGAGTGTTCAATCGTACAGTCGACCTCGATATGTTTCAACTTTGGAGTGAACTACATTACTTCATCACTTACTTAACTATCACAAATCTGTTATTGCCCCAGTACTCGGTCTCCTCTTGTCAACACTTACCCTGTGATTCAGGCCAGTTCGTACAATCAATCATTCCCACAATGAAAGATATTCGAACCTCCACTCCCGACGCTTTCATTTCCACTTCTTCTCCACATCGAGGTATCAAGTCACCTGAAGTCACAATTGTCTGTTGAAGAGCAAGATAAGTTTAAGACCAGGTTAAGCTTAAACCCCACTAACTATACAAAAAGTAGCCCCATGCTATTCGAGCTATCCATTCAATACCAAGAACAATCCCAGCTTAGCTTAAACAAATAGTGTTTCAACTTACAAAAGAAGAAACAGACTCATTGTCTATAGAACCCAACTCTCGAGACGCATAAGCCCCTGTCACCGATTTGTTATGCGCCACACACAGACCTCGATTCAAAGAGACGGGACCTTTTGCCTGAAACCTAATTATAGAACAGCCGTTTTGTTTACAGCAAAAACCCGCATCGGGAAATGTAAACAGACACAAATGCAAAAAATTAGTTCGAGAATGCGAAGACGGCACGGTACATCAAACAAAGCTGTATAAAACAACAGCAAGGGAGGGAGACAGAAGGTACCAATCGAAAAGTTCTTGCAGATTTTACGGTTTTTTTATAATACGAAAGGGTTTCCAGGTTTTCAAAGGAGAAAGTCCGTTTTAATAACCATCTTTTCATTGATTGCATTCCAGAAGAAGCAGATTATCCACTTATTCCTCGTACGGAAGAGAAGAAGGAACGGAGGAAGGAAAAAAAAAAACTTTATTCATCCAAGACACTTTTTACACTGCAACACAAAATACCCCCATCCCCTTTGTCCATCACACTTGTTTTCTCATTCCTCACCTAAAAGGGTATCATCGTTCCTTGTGACGTCCAAACCATCCACACAGCTCTTTTGAGAAACGTTCCGTACAAATGTCATCGTCAGGTATGCCCACTATAACGTCGACTACGACGTCTGCAACCAAGTCTGGCATGCCAGTGATCACGGTTACTGAAGCCGGGTCCACAACGTGGACCACACCAGATATAACACCACCAGCTGCGGGCGATAATCCAAACATCTGGAGATCAAGTGCTCCCTCGGGAACAGTGTTCATTGCAGTGGGAGCCGTCGCAGGGTTCATTATGGTTATCTTTGCCCTTGTGCTTATCTTGAGAAACTGGTTGGCGAGACGTACTGCGCGTGAGTCTGTTGTTCTGGATGATAATAACTCGACAAACTCCTTTGGATCTGGTGGGCTGATGGAGAAGAACCAGCTATACCATTCATCTTCAGATTTGAGAAAGAGCGTATCGCAGGGGAAGATACCGTTGCTGTACTCAACATACACAAAGGAGTTTTCAAACGACTCAGTTGCTGATTTTTCAGACCCAGGCTATACAAGATCACATGAGAATATCTTCTCCACATTGGATGCCACTGATAATAAGAGGAAATCCATGTTCATATCTCCAACTGCAGAGGTCATGGGCTTGAAGAGCCAACCTCCAAACCAACGCCATTCCAGGGTACTGTCCAGTCTGAGTAACATTGCAAGCACAACCACGGTTAACGGGGGTGGATCAGAGGTTACATCGTCTTATCAGACACCACCACAAGTTGGGTCAAGGTTCAACAGACATGAACGTACTGGAAGTTATGATAACTACGGCGAAGTTTCACTAACGAGTCCAGAGAGAGGATCTCAACGTGAGTACAAGAGTCGTTCCAGAGCTGTACCTTCACAATACCTTGATTCTATGTTTGAAGATTAAACTGCATTTTGTATTTTATTTTGAAGGATAAGACCAGAAATAACACGCAAACATTATTACATAATTATACACCCTGTAGAAGATGAGGATTCTTCACCTTCATTTGCTCCCTTTGGCTTTGCAGTTAGTGCACATCTGGCTGCTTCTGTGAATGCCTCATTAACACCTCTGTTCTTCTTTGCAGAACACTCCAAATATCTCAGCGCACCAATTTTTTTGGCCATGGCCAAACCTTCGTCATACGTGATTAGATTCTTTGAAGATGGATTAGAATTCTCGTGGTCGTCGTCGTCTCCATCATCATTTCTCAAATCACACTTGAGCGCCACCAATACCAGCTTAACACCTTCACAATGGTCTGCAATCTCCCCGACCCATTTATTCTGAACATTCTCCAAAGAGTCTCGAGAATCTATGGAGAAACATAGCATTATCGTATGCGTGTCGGAATAACTCAAGGATCTTAGTCTATCGAATTCTTCTTGTCCAGCGGTATCCCAGAGGGAAAGCTTGATGGATTTCCCATCGACAAAGATGTCATGAACGTAGTTTTCAAAGACAGTTGGCTCATAGACCTGAGGAAAATAACCCCTGGTGAAGACGTTCAAAAGAGATGTCTTACCACATGCACCATCACCGAGAATGACAATTTTACGTTCAACTGGGGGTTTAATTGTGTTTTGTTAGTATACAGAATGGGTATTAAAGACGCCTTCAGAATTGTCTGTAAATGGAAAAAAGTAACCAAAACGAGACGCCTAAAAACACACAAAACAACTCACTTGGTTTAGTTGAAGATCCGCAGAGTGGCATTATTTATGATTTGTTTGTGTTCTTTGCTTCGTTCTGATTTGTTCTATCAGGATAAATTATGAATCAATTCTTTCCCCCTAGTGTATTTCTAGTAGCTTGGGAATGCGTCCACAACAGCAATGTCTTTTCAAGAATCAGGAATGTGTTTTTTTCGAATGGTTTGTTTACTCCCCCGACGAATGGATCAGCTCAAGTATTCTAAAATGGCACAACAAGAAGCAGATAGTCTGAGTGGATTAGGAATAGCACAAGTAGAAAGGAATGGATGAAATCAGACAGAAAGAAACCCTTTTAGGAAAATTCAAGTGATGAATCAAGAGAGAATTCTCGATTTTGATTAATTACAACCTGTTTTTTTCTTGTTGTCGTTCCTCCCCTATGGCCGTTGTTACTAAAATAAGCTGGCCGCTTTTGGAAATTTTCGCGTTGTGTGTTTTGGAATTGGGGTTTCTCTCTCTTTTTGTAGGACGGGACTTTATTGTTCGAGTTGAAGGTTCTGTTGAAGGTTCTGTTGAAGGTTTAGAGATGGCTTTGACAATCAATGATAGACCTTTGAGCGTTCACTTTGCGTTTGATCTTAGAACTACCACGGGCCTTAGAACATGTTGTTGTGTACGGATCCAATCCTCAGTATTTTGACCGCGTTCAGACGATATTGAAACGTGTCGGGTTTAGCCTGTAGAACTGTAAGAATGTCTCAAAGGTCGACTCGACCGGAATGTAAACTTCTTGGGAGTAGTCAAGTACAGCTACAGTGGCCAAAATGAACTTTATATAGTACTCTCAATTTGCAATAATCCTTTAGTTATCAGTGTGCATTTGATATTATCATTGCAGCTCGTTTCCTCGTCCTTCTTAATTTTGGTTGCTGAGGTTACCCAAGACCTTCAACTCCATGCTCCTCCCGAAACAGGAAAAGAAGGCGTGTTATATAACACCCGAACATCACCACAAACACCCATCCAAAGAAACGTAGCCCCAAGAGTGCGCACAGGATGGACACAACTTGGGGCTTATAGGGCTCTCTGATTGTGGTGGCCGAATAAGGACTGCTTTAACGTTTCGCCACGTTTAGAACCAGAGGATCAGCATCCTAAACATGGCTAAGAAGCAGGTCAATCCTCTATTGCAAAGGTTGCAGAGCGCTCAAGATCGGACGTCGAGGGATATAAACAACAGAAACAAGAACAGGAAATCTGAGAAGATTCCAGATTCAAAATCAAAACTGGAGAAGAACCCTTTATATAGAGCTTTGAACGGCTCCAATGTCCAGACCAGACCAAAGAACTCCCCTGCTTCGCTAAGGGGCAAATCACTTTCAAGATCCAAGGCACAGTCGAACAGGGTACAGAAGCTGAGCGTTAGAGAACGTCTCAGAGCTTCAGTTGCAAAAGTTGAAGCGTTAAATTCACAGAGCAACTCTTCGAAGCAATATCCAAATGTCTCGAATTCAACGGGGAAGCCTAGCGAGTCCAGACAAGGAGGCAGACCTAGCACGCTGAATAGTAAACTCCAAAACAACAACAGGATAACAAAGCATCGGCTGACCTTGTCATCCACACCTTCATTGTCAGCTTCTTCGTTCCACAACTCTCAGAAACAGCAAAGGGACATAAGCACTAGGGACTATAACGCTGGTATTGAACTGTCGTATGACCCCCAATCTCCATCGTTCTTGACGGTGAGGAACTTAGAAGTTGGAACGTCGGCAGACGACCTCATACATGTCTTTGAAAAAATTGGTAAAGTTACAGGCATCAGAGTGAAGGATTTGGCTTCAGGCTCCGCAACTGCAGAGATTATGTTTACAAAGCACCGTGATTTGGTGCGTGCCTATGAAAGTGTTAAAGGTTCCTTCGCCAATGGCCGTCTACTCCAAGCCGATATCACAACCAATAGCCAATTCACGAGTTAGAACCTCGTTCGCTCTTAATACTAAGAAAAGAGCAATCAACACAAAATTACAGTAGATTAATTTAGATGGTGTGTTCAATTCAACTGGAGTCACAGTCAAGTCTCTTTAGTTTACATGTAGTGAAGTAACCACCAATTGGGCGAAGAGCTACAGAAAACAAACTACCGTCTCTATAAGTGTCCTTACAGAACATGTGTCTTCTTCTGAAGGTGACACACAGGTGTGTGGGATTTAGTGCAGATGACAGGTGCGTGGGCCAGAAATTTCCAATTATGTCCTACATGGCATAATAGCAAGCATAAAATGCAGAAACGGGCAAAAAGAGGGTCTTGCCATTTTGAAAGGAGAGGTATAAAAGGGAGATCAATTTCCCCCTTTTCGAGCTATGGTGAGTTGCTTCCACGGCAAATATACCAAACCGGTTCGTTTGTAACAAATCGTATAATATGACAGATACAACTACTCTTAAGGTTTCCACTGTGGTCACCCTGATCCTCTCGGTGTATGCCAACATCCGTTATTTGGTGGGGCGCAACCCAATCGACGATGATCCAGAGAAGGACCCATTCTTTAGGGTTGGTTTCACCCCATTTACAGCCAATTTGTTGGTGATCCTCATTTATTGGGGTGCCACACACATTTTGCAGTTGGGATTCATTGCGCAGTTCTTCTTCCCAGAGGAGACAAACTCACAGTCCCAATCTTCCAACCCAGCTGCGAATGCACTGGGTGCCATTACAAACTTCTCGAGGGTCAAAACGGCAACGAACGTTGGTTGGTCTTTGAACATCTTTAACTTTTTACACTTTGCCTGGAGTTTACTGTTTGCCCACGGCCATTATATCCTCTCTGAGCTGGTTCTCATTGCCAATTTCGTCAACATTTTGGCCTTGTACACCTCGCAGAAACCATGGAAAATCAGAAACCTATCTCAGATCTTTTTGATTCACATGCCAGTTGCAGCTTTGCCATTCTCATGGTTGTTCTTTGCAATCTTTTGGAACGGCGCTGTGATTGTTGGTTCGCAATCGTTGGCTGCTCGTATCGTTGCCAATGTTTTCATCTGGAATTTCCTGTTGGTGCCAACCTTCTTCTTAGCAATCTATAGGGATTGGTCCATTGGACTGTCATCATCCGCATTAATGTTGGGATTGGGTCTTGGTCAGTTATTCACAAAGGTTTTCGCTCTTCAGTGGATCTTTGCCTTTGCCATTTCAGGATTTTTGTTCCTCGCATCGATTGCAGTGCTCAGTGCCAATCTCACTTCTGATAATGGGTCATCTACTGAGAATGCTCCATTGATCAACAACTGAGGATGTGGTTGAAAACACACCCAACTTATACCTATAATAACACAAAGCTTAAGAAATACGTTCTAACCATTTCACAATGACTTTTGTCTACCTTGTAATTTCATTCATTGTGGGTTTCGTTGGATTTTGATCCACACGGATTGGCCATCTTTTCAATCAGCTGTGTCCTTAGTACGGCTTTTGGCGTATCATGCGCAATAGAGAGATACGTAAGCATAGATGGATGTCCAACAGCAGAGGCGTAGGAGTCTCTATGCACGTTTGTCATCCACTCACTATAGAAGCAACCTGTTAGTACACGTCACATGGTTAAAAGAAGCTCCCATTTGACTTACTGTTTTGTTGTTGTCTCATCTCCAAGACCAATATGACGACTCTTCAACTGGTTATAAACTTGCTGCTCTCTAACTTTATCAGCCTATAAAAGAGGTTAGCACTCGGGCGTAAGTGAAAGCACACCAACCACACACGATATACTTACCATCCTAAACTTCTCTGTCGTTCGTTGTCGTTCGCTGTCGTTCTTTATGTTTCGAGGACTGGCAGCGAAAGTTTTTTTCCTTCTGTTGAGGTGATCCTTCCTCTCTCCACGGAAAACCCAGTTCAAAGCAAAAATTGTAACTGCGAGAAAACCACAAACGTACACACAGGCACACACACCAACGCCATTGCAAACAGAAATGTCAACAGATTTAGCTATGGATGTCAAAAAGGACGACGAAGACGTTGCAATGGCTGATGCTGAAAGCACTGTGGACCCACAGCAAGAACTTCATCGTAAACGCCGTGAACTGTTCAATGCCGCCAACGAAGAGTACCAATGGTTGTACTTAACCTCGGACGTTGTTGATGACTTTGACAGGAGCAGAGCTGGGATCGCTTCGAAGGTCTCGTCACAACCGGGCATTGCTCAGGGTGTGTTCTATGAGGTGATTCTGAGTGCGAAGTACTACGAAGCGAGAATCCCGTGTGCAAAGCTTGTTTCTCTTTTGGAAGATGTTATGGGCAATGGCCGTGTTGACGTGTTGAAGAGTACGTTTATAGCGGTGCTGAACTCGTTTAAACTGGATGAGAACATCTTGAAACTGCTTAGGGAGTACAAGAGTTTCCCATCTGTTGACCTGGCGTCGTTTGCTCTCGATGAGAAGATCGTAACCGAGTTGGGCCTTGTGCAATCCCTCTCGAAAGATAAGATGGACTATTTGATTCGACACTTGGTTGACCAGCCAAGGTATAATCTCTTGCACGAGTCCGCAGAAGGTTATTCAAAGGTTATCACTATTCTTTCAGACGTTGCAGGTTCTGAATTCTCTAAATTTCAAGTATCTGCCGTTCTCAATTCGATTGACATTTGCATAGGTCATTTCAACTTAGACACAACTATGGTCTTGAACTTAATTATTTGTATTGGTGCTGAATTTTCCACCGTGAACTACAGATTCTTCTTGGAGTTGTTGGAAAATTCGCAATGGTTCCCAAAGGTCAAGTCTGAGATCTCATCTTTGGAATCGTTAAACGAAGGAGGCAGCGAGGATGCAGTTAGATTCATAGCCTCCAACTTACGTGTTCTTGCCAAAACTCCGTCTAGTGATGAAGAGTTGAAGCGTTTCATGAGATTTACCTGTATGCTTATGAAAATTGGATTCATTTCGTTTGGTGCCTTGTACAAGTTGTTGGGGCCTAGCTCAGAAGTGATGCTTACATTATCAGAGAAAATCAAACAAAACATTGACGAGGAGATTTTCAAAGCTTCAGCAAATGCTTTAGCTCTAAGTGGACCGTTAGCTGATGATGAAGATGACGAAGAAGATAACAAGACCCAGTCAACCGAAAGCCAGGAGAAAAGTGCAGAGCAGTGCGACGTGAATTTCAAACTTCTCTTACTGAAATCACTACTTGAGAATGGCTTGTATTTCCCTTCCCTATACATTTTGGTTGAATATCCAACATTGGCTTTTGCAGATGATGAAGTACCTAAGCTTATTCTGAGAATTTTCAAGCATATGATTGAACCGTTCCTTTGCCAGGAGCAGATTCTATCCGAGGAACAATCAAGGAAACTTACAACACCTTTGGTTAAAGATCTCGCGAGACATGATGATATCAAGGAGGTGTCGTATCCCTTGAGCAATGGACGCTTTGTGTGTTATTTTTACAGAGAGTGGACAGAAGGTTTACCTTCTGTTGAAAATGAGGAAAGTTTGATCAAGTACTCCAATGAGTTTTTATCCTTTGTTGGTGCAAAATTGGGAGAGGATTTCTTATTAGTCTCAAAAATCTGCAAAGCTATCACGGCCTTCCTCAAGAAGACTAAAAACTCTAAAAGTTACGAAAAGGAACTAGAAACTTGGTTTGAATATTACAGGAAGTTTATATTCCCAGCACTGAGTTTTGGTCATGAAAATCCTATCCTTGTCCATGACTCATTCCAACTGCTCGTCCTATTTCCTGTGGCCTGGCGTTATAACCTATATGGTGAACTACTGAGGGTTACCTCAAAAAATAACCAGTTTGTGAAGTTGAATTACTCCAAGGCTGAGAAGCAGACCAAAGATGTCTTGAAGAGATTGACCACAACTAATGTTAAAGAGACTATGAGACGATTGGCAAAGATCGCCTTTGCCAATCCACTTCCTGCGTTCTCTGTGATCTTGAACCAGATTGAGAGTTATGACAACTTGACAGATTTGGTGGTTGATTCTGCACGTTACTTCAACGATTATGCGTGGGATGTGTTACCATTTGCTATTTTAACACGACTGACTCAACGCAGGCAAGCACTTCAAGATGATGGAATCAATGATTCAACATGGTTACAATCGCTGTCCGTATTCATTGGAAAGATTTCAAAACATTATAAAGAACTTGAATTAGACACCATTTTGATGTTCTGCACGAGGTCACTCCACCATAAGGATCGTGTCGGACTCACTGTCTTAAAGCAATTGATTGCGCATATGGGAGGTATCCAGCGTTATACAAACTTGATTCCTAGTCAGATCAAGTTTTTGAACAGCGGATTAGCTTTGCAGAAAGTAACACGCAAAACAATTTTGGATACCAGAGATGAATCAATTAATAGTGGATTGAGACTAATCAATTCGATGCGCAGGTCTGGAGATCTCAACGAGTTATTCATCTTGTTACACAATTACCACGTGTCAGTTATACGTGATTCCGATGATACTATACCGTTCAAGGTGTTATGTGATCATTCTGATGAGTCAGCAGCTGTTTTACACACGTTTTGTCAGATGATTACTTTCTTCAGTCACAGCGCAAACTATGATTTGTTTCAACATTATATTGCACCTTTGGATGACATGATCTCAGAGTACAACATCGGTGTTGCTTGGGCATTTGAATTATGGAGATCTAAGCTTCCACTTGAGTTTGATGCCAATCTTGAATCTACGAGTATCGATTTGACAGATTTATCAAAAACTCTCTTCAATGACTTCTGGAAGCTGAGCTTGTATGACATCAACTTCGATGCTGACGTTTATACTGCAGAACTAGCAAAAGTGACTGCACAAAACAAGAGTATTGAGAAAGAAGTTAAGATAACTCTCATGGATATCCGTGAAAAGAATAGCAGAGAAAATGTTAGGTTGAGAGAGAGATTGCAGAAGAGTCATAAGATTAATAATGAGGTGATCAATGGCTTACCTCGTGATCTAGAAAAACACAGACAACACTCAGAACTAATTTCAAATACTATTGATGATCATCGCTCACTATGGTTCTCATCCGAAGAGCCTACAGAGAATGAAATCGAGGCATTTATCCAATTTTGTGTCATTCCACGTGTTACACATTCCGAAAGTGGTGCTATATTCAGTGCTACTTTCATTAGCACTCAGCTAAGTATGTTCATTTCCAAAGCAGTGCTCAATAAACTCTTTGAAAGTGGAATACTTGGAACTTTGTTATACTCGTCAACTCCAATTGAGGCCGAGAATATTGGACTGTTTGTCGGGGAAGTTATTGGCTCGTTCCAACGTAAGAGCGAGGTTGACCTAAAGAAGTCCTCTTTCCACTGGTTACAGGAAATTGTGCCTGTGGTAAAGAACAATCTGATATACGTCGAAAGTTATATGGCAAGGAGAAACACTTTAACATTCCTCAAGAATTTAATTCCCATGATAACCACCAAGACAATAGGAATTAGTCTTCATTCAATTGTGGAAGAGGTGGGGAAAATTGAAACTAGAGATGATTTGAAGCTTGCATGCTCTGCCGTCTTTGCATTACTTCAAGGGTCTTCTAAAAACTGGGTTAACATTTGGGACGTCGTTGAGCTTGATGAACAGGAGCGCTCCCTCCTTGAAGCAGAGTCCGAAAAAATACTTCGCAGACAAAAACTTGTGAAAGAGGAAGAGAAACGTCTGCTGGCAAAGAAAGCTGAAGAGGAACGTGCTATTAGGCTTGCCGAAATCAAAGCTCAAGAAACAGAACGGAATGCTCGTCGTGCAGAGGAAGAGGCTGCTGCTGCTGCTTTGAGAGAAAGGGAGATAGCTGAATCTGAAAAGAAGGACAGTACTGATGAAGCGATGGCTGATGCTGACGAGGAAGTTGACGAAGAGGAAATTATTATCGAAGAAGATGATGAGAAGCAAGATACAAAGAGTTCTTCCAAGACTGCTTTATCGGGTGAAGAACCGGAAATCAAAGACCCTAAACAACCAGATCCTGTCTCTAAGGCTACTAGTAGCGGTGAACACGACAGTGAGCTCAAGAAGAATGATATTAAAACCGGGGAAGTTACCAAGAGGGAAGTACAGGTGTCAAAGGAGAATAAACCTAGAGAAAGTCTTAAATTCCCAACAGAGCCTCAAAATGCTGCTAAAGATAATCGTCTTGGCACAAGGTTCCGCAATGTTACAGCTGATATGATATCTTTAAGCGAAACTGAACTCCAGAAGAAAATCAAAGATGTGGTGAAGTTGATACGAGAAAAAGATATGGAAGGGTTAATCAAGTTCACAAGTGATAGTCCTTCCACTTCTAAGAAGTTAAGAGAGAACAATGATCCTAAGACCTACAGAAAAAATGTCAAGCTCATTTTGCACGACTATTTTGTGAAAATTGCAGGTCATCCAGTTGCAGTAGACTCCTTCCTTCAAGGTCCTCTATCGAACTTGCCCCTTCCAGAGGCACACCATACCAGACAAAGACTTCCAGATCAGTCTTTTGTTGTTAGTAAGGCTATTGCTGGTAAGAGCGATAGAAACGACGACTGGAGAAACCGTGATTCTGATCGTCGTGACAGAGATCGTGGAGGCCAACAACGTGACAACGATAAAAGAGATCCAAGGCGTGATAGAGATAGGGATGGACGTCCGAGAGACAGGGATGAACGTCCTAGGGATAGGGATGAACGTCCGAGAGACAGGGATGAACGTCCTAGGGACAGGGACGAACGTCCTAGAGACAGCTATCGCAGAGATGATCGTGGTAACCGTGGATCATCTTACAAAGGCTCAATCCCACCACCACCACCTCCCCCTCCGCCAGCGAAAAAAGACTCATTCGACACTTCAAGAGGCCCTGATAGAAGAGACCGTCGCAATGACTACCCTGATAAGAGAAGAAGACGCCGTTGAGTGTATATCTCTTAAATGATACACGTGATTTATATCCAATAGTGTGTGTGCTTTGTACGCCCAGAGCGATGACCTGTGGCAGTGTGTAGGATGATGCTTGTGACCCCAACCAGGAGGAAGCCTGGTGATTTATAACAACCACGACAAGCCCGTACTTTAGCTGGTGACGCTGTCGATTTTACAGTGATAGAAGACAGTACTTGTAGATCACATGACACCTTGTGGAACCAGAGGAGTTCTAGTTGTTGATCCAATTGAAATCAGAGGACTTAGGGCCAGATCGGCATCGACATCGCAAGTGTACATTTTGTTTCAGGTTAGTACCACAGTCCGCCGAACAAAGAGATCACCGTTCACAACGTCCCAGTATCTGAAATGGAGTGAGAACTCGCAGTGTAGGTTTGAGATCAAACCAGAGAATGAGCCCAATCTCCAGGTGTTTGTTATGGAGTATAGAACACCATTGCCCCTGCTGCTAGCGTCTGGCGAGGTTTCTCTTGAGGATGCTTTCCAGCAAAAAGAGAGTAATGCGGTGATTTCACTAAAGCCATATGGCCAATTAGAGATTGAGCTAACGTATTATGCTATTGTACCAGTTATCCCGAAGAAGGCTGAATATACGTCTGTTGGTGACTCTCCGAGCGATGATTTGCAGAGCACACCCAGTCCAAAGGCTGAGAATATAATATCGTCTGTTGATCTGGTATTTGTCGATAATGGAGTGAAGCAAGAAACAAGCCGACTGAGAAGGCTCGCAAGGAAAGTGAAGCGAAGATATCATGAATCGAGAAGAGCATCCTATGAGCACACGTACGATCGACAGTCTCAGGCGAATTTGAAACAGTTGGAAGTACAGGTGAATACTGGAAAGGAGCTACCCGATACTCCAACGACACCGCTGTCGTCATCTGATACATTGTTCCACAGAACATCTGTGGAACTATCAGACTTGAAATCAGAGGAAATGGATGGAATTGATCCATTGAGTCTACCATTTTCTGCTGTTGATATTGGAGCACAGGCACCTCAAAAGGTTGAGGTGCTTCGAGAGCAGCATGAAATCGATAGGGTCAAGAATTTAAAGTATACTTCGTTCCCACCAGAGGTGTTCTCCTTCCTCGATAGGTTACAGAAGCAGAATGTAAAGCACGAGGATTTCATCATTGATAAAGGCATATCTGGTTATAATGGGGATGGAACGTGGTCGAGAGGCTGTTTGAGAGACTTCCCACACGACGAAGAAGCACCGTGTCTCCCTCCAAAGATACCCATAGGGATGGTGGGCGAGGAGTATTTTGTCTTGAACAAGGAGAACTACATGGACTACTTCAAACAAGTATATTCTACATGGTGTTGATCACCATATATTAACGAGGGGCATGTGTACCTACATCAGATACAGAGTAACAAGCATGAGAAGGAGCTAGACTTAGAGATAACGCTGGAGCTGTTAACGAGCCATAGTCGTGTCACGCAGAACACTGAGAGGGCCGTCATTGATTATGGAGTACGATCCCGACTTTGCTCCACATCAGAGGCCATGAAAGCTTCGATATGGCATTTTGTCCAATTCCTTACAGAAAAGCTACCTCATCGCAGACCACACACATAATCCAACCTAATGAACGTCATTTACTCCCGTGGAGGATAATTTTACAGCTTGTAACATTTTCCTTGTACTGGACGAGTAACATCTTGCGTGGGTCATAGCTAAAGGAACTGAACTACGTGACGCAATTGGTCAGCTGTCGATTCCTTTGAAGCCGTTGAGCATGAATACCAAAGTCTAGGGCACAGTTCTCAGCCTCCAGACCGGAGACTACTTAGAGATTCCTAATTCGGAAATATACCGTGTTAGGCAGTAATAGAAGAATTTTAGCACTATAGATTTGATACACCCGGACACCACAATATATATTTTCCGGTGAGCGGAATTTCTTTGGCGGAATTCCTGAAACTTGTTCTCAAAGTAACACTTCTGATGTGGACCTTGGAGATGAAAGTTTTAGTTGCATGAGAAGATTGTTTTGATCAGAGGATTCCCACAAGAGAATATGTTGGAGTATTTATATCCACTCTTTCCCACTCTAGCAGTATTGTTTTTGAGTGTGTTCATATCTTATCTATGATTGGCACGTGAAGGGTACGTTATACATCACGTGACTATTTTATCAGCCTTGCTTTCTTTTTTGTTTGTTTGTTTACATCCTCTGCGTGTTTCAACTATTTTAAGCGAAATTGGAAGATTTTCTCAACGTGAATCGGTTGGAATCGACAAGGCATTTATACGTTTGGTGTGTTATCAAGTCTGAGTGTGTTCATTGCTTTCAATAACGGCAATAGATCGAAGGACTGAGCCATGTCGCAGTTCAGAGGCAACAGCGGAACGTTGATTATCATTGTTGGTAGGGCTAAGGATCTACCGAATAAGCGGAAGCTGGAGAAGCAAAACCCATACTGTCTTTTGAGAATAGCCAACCTGACGGACAAGACAAATGCGGATCTACGTGGAGGACAGGTGCCCAGATGGGATGAAGAGTTCAGGTTCACGATATCGCCAGAGATCTCGCCGGTGTTGAAGTTGAGCGTGCTGGACGAGACGAAGAAGGCCCCAACGTTGATTGCAGAGGCAGAGATTGATTTTACACCGGTGTTCTACTCATCAGTGAAAGAAGGATATGATAAGTGGCATCCCCTAACGTCCGGCTCAAGAGAAGCTGGTGAGATTTACCTGGAAATGACTTTCTACCCAGCTAGTAGTGCTACTGTGTCGAGAAAGTCCATGTCAATGTCAACGACGAGTTCCCAGTCTCCAAAAAAGCGGTCATTACCACCAGTTCCAGGACAACAGTCACCACCACTTTCTGGCGGAGAAAATAATAGTGCAAGAGTGGTATATTCTATACCACCACCATTACCAAGGGTGAACAATGTCCAGACTCGACTCGGGGATAGTTTTAGAGCGTCTCAAACATCTGTGCATTCTCTTCCAGATGTTCCAAGACAGAATGATATAAGGAACAACAACATTCATGACCACCAGGAAGTATTTGTGGAAGAACCATCACCTCCTATTGAAAAAGTAGATTCAAATGAAGACAGAGACAACGATTGGATGTCGTATGCTAAGAAGCTAACGTCGAAGTAT